TATATATATATATATATATATATATATATATATATATATATATATATATATATATATATATATATATCCATTATGTTTATACTATTTGAAATTTATTAGTTACATACATCAATAAATAAACATATTTTTATTGTTCTAAAAAAAAATTGATTCTCACATGAACCAAATATTATATAAACCGAGCTATAAAAAGTACAAACCCTCGTATTAGTATAAATGATACAAATAAATTAATTGAGATACATATAAAAATGATAAAAGTTTGTTTAATATAATTTGGATATTTATAAAAAATTGTCAGAGTTCATTTATTATTATCAACGTATTATATTATGAAACAATCAACATATTCATTGAATCAAATACTTGTTACACTAGATGAATGATCGAGACATGTTCGTGTGGTTTGTAAACGAAACCACCTCTTAGTATTAAATAGGGGAATTAATTAAAATAGCTATTTTGACCGGTGGATTTTATCTATTAGCTTTTCCTCTCCTAAAATTACAAAAAATAGCAATAGGTCCATAATTTACGGAGGCGTTAAAGTGTAAAAAAAATGAAATTTTAGAACCAAATCTACAATTACAGGGACTAAATATGTAAATTAGTTAATAGGTCTGCGGATGTGTTTTTCTAACTTTACATATTTGATTCTTGCAATTACGGACCTGGTTCAGAAACTTCATTTTTTTCTTATACTTCGACCTCTCTGCAAATTTCGGACTTGCCAATTGTGGACCTATGGTTATTTTCATGATTTTGAAAGAGAATTGGCTAAAAGGTGAAATCATGTGGTCAAAATGGCTATTTTAATTAATTCTTCTTTTTAATATATTATATAGAGTAATTACGTTTTCTATTCCCGTGGTTTGTTAAAAATCGCGGATTTCATTCTTGTAGTTTTGAAATTACGGTTTTTTATCCTTATGGTTTGAAATTTATTTTTATTTTTGTTTTTGTTCCTATGGATGAACACTACTTTTAACTACGGTAACTAAAATATAAATGAATTGTAATTCATAGGAACAAAAAAATAATAAAATTTAAATTATAAGAATGAAAATGGTAATGATTAAAAATCATGAGGCTTTGAAAATGTAATTTCAAAATTATAGGGATGAAAAAAGAAATTTTTAATAAACCACAGGGACTAAATACGTAATTTGTATTTAGTCTATTATATATTTATATGTCATCCTATAAAATAAATCAAGGATCATTATTGTCCTTTCCTTTTCCTTTTCCTAAACGCCACCTCAGTATCCAACCCGAACCCGTCAACCTTTCTAGACTGAACCAGCTCCGACCCATTAAACAACGGTTCAATACTCTACAAATCATTAGCCGAGGTACTTATCTGACCGTCTAGAAATCGCCACGTGTAACACACATTTCCCACCAGGCTTCAACGTCCGTTGGAACGAATTTATCCGGGTAAATAAAGTGCATGGTCAACACACATTCGAAAATTCAAAGTCATATCATCGAACGGCTGATAATGAAAGTCACCCTTGATCACAACGATTGAATCCTTAGCTCCTACCCGTTTCAGAGCCTCCACTTCCTGTCCGACACAGAGAGCGTTTGAGGAATTAGAGGGCAGTTTCACGCTTTAATCGGGTAAAGAAACGGGTGAAACCCAGAAACTTTCGGTCCATATCTTAGCGGTTTTATGAAGCTGGTGATGGATGGTAGGTGTATCCGGGTCGGATCTGGAGATGATTGACGGAGATGGGGTTTTGAGAGAGGGAAAAGTGATGTGGGTTTTGGTTGGTTGATTGCTTCCTTCATCTCTTCAACTACATGCATTGCTTACATTTCACCATCATCAAAATCTCTCTCTCTCTCTCTAAATCTCTCCCACAGAAACACTTGCCCCTCTCTCTCATTGTATCATCTATATCTATACTATCTTATAAAGCAAATTAAGCAAAAGTCTTAAAATAATAAATGACCAAGATACTCTTATCTATACTACCTCACTTTTTCACCTCCTCATCTCCTCTCCTCACATACACTCACCCTCTCACATTAAACTGATTTTTTTAAAATTATAATTTTAAATTTACACTTTATACACATATAATTAGTTAATTAATTTATTTTACGTCATTTACTTTTAAATGTTTCATTTTAAACATTTATCAAATTAACATACATAATCTTATATTAATTAAAATATGTTTAAAAAATATATTTTTATTTTAACAAGTTACATCATTATAATCGTCTCGTTAATACCTTCGAAATGAGTCCAATATTAAATACTTTTTGACTTAATTATATTATTATATATTATATATATTGTGAAAAAATATTTTTAATATTTACAATTTATACTTTTATAGTTATTTATTTTTATATATACTATATATTTTGGGGTTAGGCTGTCTAAATTGCACTGTATAATATGTTCTGAATTAATATATTTTTGGGTTTTTTTGAAATATATATATATATATATATATATATATATATATATATATACATGTATTAATTCAACCTTAATCTGAGTTTCTGGACAAAAAAGAGGGTAGACAGTTGAAATTTCATTCTAAAACTCACCTTTTTTTGTCTTTCATGACTTATGATCTGTTAAATTTGTAGTTTTCTTTATTGGTTTTGAGTGTTTATCTTAAAACTCAAGTTTCTTGATTCTTTGCTCTTCGTGTAAATCGAACACATTTATGGAGTCGTTTAAATATGTTGGATTTTAAATATATTGGATTTTAAACTGTCATACAATTTTTTCCATTGATAGTCTGTGATTGGAACCATAACTCTTATTTATTCAAATTGTATTAATATGTAAAGACCAAGTATAACATATATCATCGTTAAATCTTATCTCATAAAACCAGTGGAACTTTAAAATCGTTAAAATTCATGGCTCCCGCCGCATTGCGCAGGTACACAACTAGTTTTATTACATTTCATGAAATTCTCTCTCAATATACTCGACTCGAACTCAATAGTCATTTCTCAAGTTCGAACTCGACTCGAAAACTCGCGAGTAGTTAAAAACTAAACTCGACTCAAACTCGATTGCAACTTTTTAAACTCAAGCTCGAACTCGTTTGAAGCTTGAACCAAGCTCGAAGTGCTACTCGAATCAAGCTTGAACTCGAATTCAAATCAAGCTCGCTCGTCGAAATTTATGAAATTTTAGGATTTTCTCTTATAAATTATAAAATTTAAAGGTGTTCTCTTAAATTTTTAAAAACTAAAGGAATGCACCTCAAACTTCATCATAAAAAAGACAAAATTACAATCTTTATTCACCTCTCTCTCTCTCTCTCTCTCTTTGTAGCAACTCTTTATCCTTCGTTTACTATGTCTCTTCCAATGCGGACAACTCTACCAACATTTCTATAGTTTTTGTCTTTTTTAATTATAATTTTAATAAAAAAAAACTATTGATATGGTTTTTATAATTAAAAATACACAATATTGTTCAAATATCTACAAATATAAAACACTTTATTACATTATATTATACATATTATATTATAAAACTGATTACATTTTTAAAACTAATTATATAAAAAAAATCAAGCATCTCACGAGCTTATCGAGTTGAGTATTGAGTAGCTCGACTCGACTCGACTCGTTAATATGTCGAGTCAAGTTCGAGCCGCGCCTAATCGAGTCGAATGTTGATCGAGTCGATCTCAAATAACTCACGAATTATCTCGTATCATTTACACTCTTATGTATGTGTGAGAGAGAGATGAGTTAAACAATAAAGCCACACCACTGATCAGACATGGTAAGTACTACAAGAAAATTGGAGAAACCATAAATAAAAATCCATTAAAAACATGTGCAATTACAGAATTATTATTTCAATATTTACCCAAAAAAGGGAGAAAATAATTATACATCACCACATCAAGATCTCATTTTATTGATTTGGTTAAGAGCAGGCTGTAAAATATTGTAGAGCACCCAAAGGATAGCAGGAGTGATCACAATCAGAAGAAGCTGTCCTCTGTTGTCACTAGCAGAAGCAGCAGCCGCCGCCTCAGCCACGGCGGCAATTTCGCCAGCCATAGCCTCAGGTGGCGTAAACAACCCAGAAGCCGCCGCTAGACCACCACCAATCCCCAACCCAACCACCACTCCTTTGGTCCTCATCCTATTAATCTGGTTAACTGCAGGCTGAAAGATATTGTAAAGAACCCAAGCAATGGCTGGAACAAGAGGGAGAAGGAGAGCAATCCCACGGTTATCTCCTTCAGCGATGTCAGCAATTTGCTGTGCTGCAAAAGCAGCATCACATGTGCTCAAGGTGGAGAATATGGCTCCGGCAATGGCGGTCTGGAGGGGGATGGCGGCGGTTTGTGGTGGTGGATTTGTGGTGGTGAGGCCTTTTGGGAGGTTTTGGATGGAGAGTAGGGAGATGGGTTTGGTGGGGATTGGCTTAAAGACTTTAGCAGAAGCAGAAATCAAGAATCTGGCATCAAGCATGGACATGGTGGATGAAGTGGTAGCCATTGGTGGTGGTGGTGGTGATGGTGGTGGTTGTTCTTGTTAAAGATCAAACTTTTGGTTCTTTTTAGAGGAGTGGAATTAAGAATATAGGAAGTGAGGGAAACTAGGGCCATAGTTTTCTGATCTAAAGAAGGTGATTGATTGGGGAGATAAGAGCCTCATATTTCATTCCATACCAAACATTTCTTATCACCAATTTCCCTTTTTATTCAACCCTAAAATGGCCAATGTCTATTTATCGATACTATTTTAATTTCCTAACTTCCGATTTCATAACGATTGGTAGAATTTCCAGGCCATCGTATTTGGTTTTTTGTTGATAATAAATCATGGTTCTTGCCAAAATCCAAAACAATGAACCTATACTTCCAACAAGTATCCCGCAACTTATCTAAAATCGCTCATTTCTTACTAACTATAAACTTTTTCTTTCCGTTTTGCATTTTGCAAGAACGACAATTGGCTTGTAATGGAAAGTCAAGTAAAATGGTTCAAAAAGACAGTCAAACCAAACTAAAGGTCTGTTTGTTAGCAACTTAATAAGCTATATGGGACTCGTAGCTTATTCAGTTAGCTATACATGACTGTTTGGTAGTGGCTTAATGATATAGAAAGTGGCTTATTCAGTAAGCTTCTAGGGGGAGTTTTATGAAGAAAGCCAAGTTTTTTCCAAACCTATCCCTCCCAATTTAAAAAGACGCTCCTTCCATCTAGGAAAAAAACCCTCTAAAACAAAAATCTTCCCAATCTATACAGACAGATCAATACACATAGACAACTTTATTTATACAAGACTTAATGAAAAACCAACCGAACAATCCCTAAATGAACCCGGTATATCCCAATCAAAGGTGGGATATGGAGAGGGCAAGATGTATGCAGACCAGACATCTTCCCCAAAGAGTAGAACGACTGTTTCCATGAAGAACCCAACTTATGAACTATAAGACAACTTTATAAGCTTGATCTAAGGGAAACATGCATCACATCAGGGAAAAAAACTAGAATTGACTATAAATTTACATCAAATTGTAAAAGATCGATCAACTTTTTGAACGCTCTTTACTTTTTTGTTGCAAACTATCATCTTAGAATACTTTTTATATAAAATCACTCGACTGATGAAAAATAGAGGTCATATTTAGAACATAACTCAGTGATCAACATTTCATACCATGATAGATGCCGGAAGATTCAGTTGAGTTAATAAATAAAAACACATTAAATGTTATGAAGACACAGCTGCAGTGTTTGAAAGCTTTAAGCACTCACTTTGGCATCTTTTGAGGCAAATATCGTTCCAGTTGGGCACTTGATGCTGGTTCACACAAACAGTTCGAGCACATGCATCAGCACAAGCATCGAGTTCGGAGACACCGCAAACAGTGACACACGTATCAGGAGTCGGGTCTTTAGAAAATGCGCCAACTTTCTTTAACATCCTCTTTGAGGTGCACACCCTTTCACACACGAATATATCATCAGAACTTTTCTCACGGCCTCGAGCACTCTTCAATCTCTGCTCTTCTGCTCTCCTATTCTTCATTCTTATAGCTTGACCTGCCACCAAAGCAGGAACTGCTGCCCCCACCAAAGATATCCACCAATCTACCATTACTTGATAGTTTTACTTCAAATCTGCAATCCAAACTTTTACCGTACAGAATTAGGACCCAAGTTTTCAAATATTACTGGTGCTTGCACATATGTAAGTGCCTGTTTGTTAGCAACTTAATGAGCTTAATGGGACTCACAACTTATTCAGTCAGCTATACATGACTGTTTGGTAGTGGCTTAATGATATAGAAAGTGGCTGATTCAGTAAGCTTCTAGGGAGGAGCTTTATGCAGAAAGCCATGTTTTTTTCCAAACCAGCCCCTTCCAAAAAACATGCGCCTTTCATCTATGAACAAAACCCTCCCAAACAAAAACCTTCCCAATATTTATAGACAAATTAATCTACACAGACAGTTTTATCCATACAAAACTTAATGGAAAACCAACCAAACAACCCTTAAAATTCAGTAAACCAAGAGAGATAGAAAAGCAAATTTTTAAAAGCAAACTTTAAAAAGCAAATTTTCTAAAAAACAAACTTTATAAACATATTATATTGATGGCGCGATCAACCCAATAATAAACTTATGTAACTACTTTACAAGTTGATACCAGTGTATTGGTTTCCAAGTAAATAGAAGAAGAGTATACATGTGAAGGCTAAAATTTACTTTCAAAAGGTGAAATACTTCTATAAACACATGCAGACAGGTAAACCGATGGAGCATCCAACATCACTACAGTCAACGAAGATGATGTTTACCATTCAAAGACCACTAGGAAAGACTCGAGCAATTTAAATTCTTGATCACACATAATCTCACATTCATACAGGAATCCTACCGAAAGAATGGCGAGCTCAACACTCGAGGATAATACACTGAGTAAATTTATTTTAATTGAGTAACAGAAGCCTACTTGAGGTAAAGATCGGAATGTGTTGTCACTAGATTCATGATGTCGATTAGAATAAGTAATTAGTTGATGTAAAATAGATTCATTAGGATATTATTTAATGGAATAGTGCAAATTACACAAGAATACATGTCTAGGAAATACATAAGCAATAGTAATACTAATAATCAGAATAAGGGATAAAAATGTTGCCTTCTATTAGAAGGATCACAATAGAACAGCAAAGACAAACGTTTTATTCCAAACTGATCAGCGACAATAATAACAATGTATGACAAAAAGATCGAGAATGTCTTTTTGAAGTTCTTTCTACATAATCACATGTAAATACTAGTCAATAAACAATATATTGTCAAAAGACTAAGCAAAGGATCAATTTATCAACCAAATCTGATTTGTACTGTTGCTAATTTGGGATCTAGAATTCACTTTATTTGGATTGAACTAATTTGAGAACAACAATAACCAATACATAGATCAGTACCTCCTCTCAAAGCAACAACAGAAAATGAATATTGAATAGCCATCCATACAGGTAGCATTGAACATTCTAACCACAATGTCATTGCATCTCCAATATGATCTCTATGAAACCTTTTTTAGGTAGCATCAATGAGTGATATGTCCTGTCCACGGTAGGAGGTCTATTTAGGGCCTGTTTGGTTGGTTTTTTATTAAGTAGCGTATGGATAAAGTTGTTTGTGTGGATTAATCTGTGTGTAGATTGGGAATGTTTTTGTTTGAGAGGGTTTTTTCATTGATGAAATGAGCATGTTTTTTAATTGAGAAGGGCAGGTGTAGAAAAAAATTGTCTTTCTACATTAAGCTCCCCTAGAAGCTTAGGGAATAAAACATTTTCTATATCATTAAGCCACTACCAAACAGTCATGTATAGTTTGACCGAATAAGCTGAGAGTCCATTAAGCTGCTAACGAGCAGGCCCTTGTGGCATGCTTGGAATTCATGTAATACAACCATACCTAAGTCAAGCTTGCAGAAAATCACTAAACCCTAAAACAGATATAATACAAAAAAGTGGATTTTTTAATTGAATAAAGATGCATACTTCAGGGACTTTCCGATGGACACTTGTAGAAAGAAGAACTGTAACAATGGAGAATTCATATAACACCATATAAATCTGCGACTCGATCGAATTGAGCACGCCTAGATCATACAGTTTCTTTGAACAAATAACTCAAAAACTACGACAATTCATTGGCATTACGAATCATTTTACGAAGCAGCACACATACCTTCGTAATCGCGTGAGGAGAGAGCTAGGGTTTCAGACACCGAAAGAATTTTGGCGCTCACAGTAGCCGGCGTTCATTTGTCAACTAATTGGAATATTACAATAACACCCTTTAGGATTTGATGGGTTACCAATTAGACCCCTAATGTTTTCTATAGTGATGAAACCTCCTATGAAGTATCAAAATTGACCATATAACCCTCTTTTCTAGGCTTGTTCATCGGTTGACATTCATTGGATGTGGGGAGAACCGAACCGATCCAATCATCTATTGGATGTTGGATTTTGCCAACCGATTTGCTCCGATTAACATTGGATAACCGATCCACTTCAATCCAATAGATGATTTGATCGGCTCGGTTCCATCCATTTTGATACTTTTATTGGATATCCAATTAATAATCTAATGGGATTTGATTCATCCAATGTGTTAATTTCATCTAATTCTCTAACAATTATACAAATTAATTAATCATTTTTAATATGTTAAAACCAACACAATGGAAGTTAAAAATTAAAAGTCTCGCATAAAACAAATTCTGATTTAAGCAATTTGAAAATAAATTATCTGGATGATAGTTGTATAATTGCTTGATGGACAACTGGATAGTCATCGGATGATTAATTTGATGGGTAATTGGATGTCGATCGGTTCGGTTTTGGTCGTTATGGACTGTCGTCCGAGAACCAATCGATCCAAATTGGATGTTGGAATTTTCAATCTGATCCAATCCAATTATGGTAGGTCGGTTCCAATTGGATCGGTTGATATTCTACACACACCTACCCTTTTTAAAATTTGTTATCTATTGCCATATACCTTGTGTATTTTTTTATTTATTTTTTACTGTGAGTATCCGGATCAACTTGTGCACCTTGACTAATTCAAGCGTCCTATAAACCAATAAGGAAAATCTATCATATTAAATATATGTTGATAATGCTCGTTGTAAGCATAATAAATATGAAAACCTATAGATAATGTACAAACCCCCTTAATAAATACGAAAATTCCATCTGATTATGAGATGTAAATCTAGCATAGTGCATGACTTCTTAAACTGATGAAAGTGTGGACTGAATGTTACCGTGATAATGCTCCTGAACGAGATTATGCTCTTAAAGTATACAGTGTTTTATATACGACAAATCAAATTCACACATGTTCTTACGTTTGGTGATACGTTAAACTAAACTAACATACATTCTCACATTTCGTGAGCCTTGAACCCCTGGTAACGAATGTAGGGTTATTGGGTGTCGTTTTTATTGAAGTGACATTTGTGTTGTTCAGTTTTCGAATTAGTGAAACAAATGGAGGGATGATTTTAAAAATCTAGACTGACCATACTTAACAAGCAAAGGTGAAGGTAGATAAGTGAATTTTGTGAAAGGTTTTATGGTTATAATTCGTGCATCTCGTGAATTTTTGTACCACTTGTTACGGCAAGAGAAATAAGTTACGTGTTTGTGTCGGTTAGTCCCTTGACGTTCTAGTTTAATGTTACAATGACATGAAGACACCGAGTCTTTGTTCTAGGTTTCGTGTTATTTCACGTAAGAAATGTATCGTAAGGGCGTTGGTTCTGAAACATATTTAACTAGGAACTATTGTCGAGTCACTCCAAATTATGTACCACTATGCATCATTACAATCAAACAGTTTAGTTAGATCCAAGTTATGTTCATGATCGACCTCTTTCAATTTTAAACCGTAGGATTCGTTGCTATTGATCTGGAATTCAAACTTATTTGGGCAAAATAATTGATCCCCCACAACCCTAATCAGTTATGTTTTTAGGGTGCGTTTGATATACTGGACAGAGACAAGACATAACATGACAGAGATTCATGTCCCATGTTTGACTTGAATTTTATGTGAAACAGACATGAATGAAGTGAAACAAAGTGGAACATGTTTGTTCCACTTATACCATATTGAACAAGGTGGAATAATTATAGTGTGAACAAAAATCAAATTCAAACGGAAGGAAGTTTTTTACACATGAAAAACATTTTCCATTCCTTCCGCTTTAATCCCCTTTCTTGCTTTCATTCACTCATCATCTTCTAACCCTTCTTCCCCTGTTCTTGAATACCACATTCAAGAATCTAAGATACCGATCAATCAGTCAATCCTCCTGCTACAATCTTGCTGGGCCTCTGAACTTCTAGGGTTTTCAGCAACAATCTTTAAACCTTGTTTAACAAGAAATGGCGAACTCAATTCCATTCGGATCAAGCACGGTTCTATCCCCCTTTCCTGATTCCACAAGATTTCGGACCCTAAACCCTATTTTACGAGGAACCCAAGTTGGGAATTTCTCCAAGAATCATAAACCCTTTCTTCGTGGCAGTACCCTAACTGTGGCTAGGTTCGGGCCGGGGCAGGTCCAGTTTCCTGACCCGGAGAACTTCAGAGACCTAATTGATAGAGCTGAAGGCCTTCTTTATACGATTGCTGATGCGGTTGTTTCTGCAACTCCTGATTCCGGTATCACTACGACCACCGGTGCTAAACAGAGTAATGATTGGCTTTCTGGGATTACCAGTTACATGGAAACTGTTCTTAAGGTTTGCAGTTTTCCCTTTATTATAGTCATCATATATATAGTACATACATATGGGGCCGGTTCAAACAAGAAGCTAAACATTTTGCAAGAAGGCGAGAATCCAATATCACATATGATACACAAGGTTAATCATATATGATTAAACACATGTTATGTTGTCAACACTTGATCATGCATGATTAAACACACCCCAAAGAAATGTAATATATACGATATCGGAACTTCTGTCTTCTCGCAAAATGTTTAGCATATCTATATGTGTGTGTGTGTTGTTACCATAATATTATGTGTGGGTTCTTGAAAAATTGCAATTTTGGGGGGATATATACACACTTATGCAGTATGCAAGGAATGTTTACAGGAATAGATGATAGGATGAGAAGAAAAGACCAAAAACAGAACATTTTGGATGATGAAGGTGTCATCATCTCATGATCTTCGAACTGTGAATTTTTCACAGGCTAACACTTGATTGAACGTGAATTGCTTTTGTATTCTTTATGTAATTCAAACAATTGTGGAGGACATTGGCATTTAGGTGTCTTGAAGTTGATAAGCTAACCGACATTGAATGAAACTGTAGCATCCCATGATTGCCATCCGATATTAATTACAATAGTTATATTATAAGTTCGTTTTGATAGCTTTCCTCCATGGTTTGAGTTGTTTGGAGGTTATTTGGTCTGTCTTGCTTTGGTTTGGGCGGTTACACGAAGACTTCTGTATAGAGTAATGTAATATTAGTGTGGATGATGTTTTACATAAGTTACTTCATTTACCTTTTATTCGAATATATTCAAGTTGGGTCAGTGTCTTATTGCATTAGAGTTTTGTATTATATATATATATATACACACACACACATATATATATATAGAGAGAGAGAGAATCAGTTTCAGGGGAAAACCACAAAAAATGGAAAACCGAGGAACGCCCTAATAAGCATCATCAAAACGGTATGCACATATGCATAAAAGTAATTGAAAAGGTTTCCTGGTTAAATGCACACAAATTACTTCAATGCACATGTGCATACCATACAAATGAATGATCATCATGGTGTTCCAAAGTTTTCCATTTTTTTTGTGGTTTTCCCCTTAACCTGATGGGTTTTGGTGTCAGGGTGGGGTTGTATCTTGATTTGTCAATGACATTGTCTTCCAGTTATATAAATATGAGGGAATAAAGCTATTTTCATACTTCATGTGCGAATATTTTATTTCCTTCCAGTTTTTGAAGGACGGCCTATCAACACTCCATGTTCCTTATGCCTACGGCTTTGCGATTATACTCCTTACAGTTCTTGTGAAGGCTGCAACATTTCCTTTGTCAAAAAAGCAGGTTTGTTGCAATTTGTTTTTAGAAGATTGCTTTGATACCCGTCTCATGATGGTTAAATGAAAACCCCAATAGGTTAAATTCATTATACCATGAGGAAATGGGCATACTTTTGCACTAGAAAAACATACCATATTTTTCCTTCTAAATGGTTGGTGGTTGCAGGTGGAATCTGCGATGGCAATGCGATCTTTGCAACCTCAAATAAAGGTTATTCAGGAACGGTATGCCGATGATCAGGTTACAATTTGTCCCATCTTTTTGTGTTTCCTATTACGCTGCCAAAAAATGATACATAACGTTTTGTACAAGTGAAAGAGAGGACTGCTAAAGACCAACATTTTAAATCAGAATTGCAAACTTAATACAAAAAATGGTAAATACATATAATTTATTCACACATATTATTAGAAATCAACAGAACTTTCCACATTAATTTTGGATTCTGAAAATAGTAGGTTTCACCTCAAAAGTCAGAAGTGTACCTCATGTTTCTACGAAACCCAAGGAATAGTTATTTCATTTGGCAATTTCATTTTGACCACATTTTTGTACTGTTGCAGGAGCGGCTTCAGCTTGAAACTGCTAGATTGTACAAATTGGCGGGAATAAATCCTTTGGCAGGTACTTGATTCAAGCTAATATTACTAGCTAACTAATTTAACAACCAGCTGTTGGTGCGCCTCAGGGTGATTCGGGCCAAAAACGTTTATGAGGCGCTGCCTCAAATAGATCAGATTGTACGTGCGCCTTGATGGGTGAGGCGGTGGGCCGGTCTAGAGGCATGCGTCTCTTCTGTTTATAAAAAACCTTTTTCTGAACTAAAAAAAACCCTAATATTACTATGGAAATCGAATTGACGTCTTATTGTTTTGCCTACATCAATTCAATACCAAATCAGTATATTAATAAGTTTTTTTTTACTTCTATTGCTCTTCTCTCCAATGATTTCTCTGTTTCTTACGTATATATATATATATATATTATATATATATATATTATGTTTTCTATATAAATTCTTATAATCTTTATATATATATATATATATATAAATTTTGTATAATCTGTTTTATGTGTGTGTGTGTATATATATATGTATATATTCTGATTTATGTACATATTCTTGTTACTAATCTGTTTTTAAATATAAATTTTGTACATAATCTGTTCTATACATATATATATATATATATGTGTGTGTGTGTGTGTATGTGTGTGTGTGTAAATATTTTGAATCATGGGCCTTATAGTTTGTTTATTTGTAAGGAAATATGAAATTATGCTTTTTTTGTTAAGTGTTGCACATTTATAATTTCGTTGTTTTTTTGCGGGGTTACGCCTCGACCGCCTCAAGGCTTACACCTCACGTATCTAAGAGGAAAACGCCTCGACCGCCTTGAGGCTTACACCTCACGTACCTAAGAGGAAAACGCCTCAAGGCTCGTTTCCGTTCTTTAAAACCTTGGTGTCCCAGGCTATGCCTGGACTAATCCCGACAAATTGTGACCGGAAGAAATCAGCCCTGATAAACTCAGTGGCCACAATTGTTGTGTACGCAATGGGATATTCCACCACAACCCCCAGGATCACAACCACTATGCCACAACTCTTGTGGTTTATTTATTATTTCTTCTTGTATACGTAGTTCTTAATTATGGTCTAACACCCTGCAAAATTCAAATCACATTAGAACAGCATTTTTTGTATCCACAATCGCTGACCAAAATGTGCCTTCATGGGTTATGCTATTATATGAGTGACTTCCAGTTGATGCCAAATATTGTGATCCTTTCCTATTTAAGTACAAGCTTCTAGTAAGGTTGAGAGGGAAATCTTACACAGCTGGAATACAAGAAATCACTGAGCTAAAGGACATTAATGAACGTAGGAAAGAAAAGATAATTGGTCTATGGAGATAGTTGCACTTCACCGTTATATTTTTGCTTTTAGGTTTCATTGTTTTATATAATTTTTTTGGTTTTTATCTTTAGCCTATCCCAATGTGTTTGGTTTTTTTGGTTTCATTGACATAGTTGTTAAAAGCGCTCCCGGCTCTGAGGCTCAAGGTCTTGAGCTTTTTTAAAGTCGAGGTGTATTCACGAGGGTCACTAAGGCAATGCCTCTTGGCCGACGTGCCTCATAAAGAGTTATTAGATACGTAGTCAAACCCTAATATTAAATAAGTTCTCTCATCTCCTAATCTCCTAGACTTCTTAACCAACCACAAAGTAAAGTTTTTGATATAAAAGTAACAGTCATGAATGGACTTCATTTATAATGCCTGAGGCTCTACTACCAGAACTTATTAAGTCCCCCACAAAGGGCGTGAATGCTAGCAAATATAAATTTCTAAGATGTTTTCTTAGAGGTCCTTCAATTTGTCATCAAAACGTGATGCTTAGGTAAAAGGGTACATTTATTCATTATCGTTTTGTTCTTTTTTAAGATAAAGACTTCACACAATGCACCTCTATGCCATCGGTACAAGTAAACACACACACACACATATATAGCCATATAGGTGCACATATGTGGAGTGCGACAGCGATAATCTAACCATATAGGTGCACATATGTGGAGTGTGACAGCGATGATCTAAGTAGTGTAAAAACTTTTATCTTTTCTGATCTCATAGAAGACAACCAATTCATGTAGCTACACTTTTATGCATCCACAGGTAAATGAATTTAATGTGAGTGAGAGAGGCCTTTTGCCGTTCTGTAGAGGTTGTAGGGATTGGTCATCTTAAACATAGAAAGTGCAAGACATTAAGGGCCTGTTTGTTAGCAGCTTAATGAGACACACAACTTATTCGGTCAGCTATACATGATTGTTCGGTAGTGGCTTAATGATATGGAAAGTGGTTTATTCAGTAAGCTTCTAGGGGGAAGCTTTATGCAGAAAGTCAAGTTTTTTCAAAACCTGCCCCTCTCAATTAAAAAACACCCTCCTTCCATCTATGAAAAACCCTCCCAAATAAAAACTTTGTTAATCTATACAGACAGATTAATCCACATAGACAACTTTATCCATACATAACTTAATGGAAAACCAACCAAACAGCCCCTGAGTCTGCATGTCTTTTACTCTTTGCTTCTTTAACTCTCAAATTTGGGATCAAATCAGGGGGTAAGTGAACAATGTATAATGATCTATGATTCAGCAGCCTATATAAACCTCCTTGAAGATGAATATATTGACATTTGCTAAGGCCTGTTAGTAGGCATTCAAGATTGCGGTTCATTTGTATCGTTGTTGACATATGTTCTTTGACAGGATGCTTGCCGACCCTAGCGACAATACCCGTCTGGATTGGGCTTTATAGAGCCCTCTCAAATGTTGCCGATGAGGTAACTTTATGATGGTGTTATTTGTTTCATATATTATCAAAGAGCATGTAATGAACATGATTGATGGCTTTATAGGGACTTTTGGCTGAAGGGTTCTTCTGGATACCATCTCTTGCTGGTCCAACAACAATTGCTGCTCGACAAAGCGGCAGTGGCATATCTTGGCTCTTCCCTTTCATTGTAAGCATTATTTTTACCATTGATGTGAGCCTTTATTGATCTTTTAATTGACTTTAAAAGTCTACAAATGTAATTGCCTTTACAAGGATTCAAACTTATGGGCTAATGCCGTCCATTTCAGGTATTGCAAGCAAGTGCTATTAAATTCTATATTTAAGTGGAATATCTGTATTACGAAGTTATGATTTGTAAAGGTTTATGATTTATAACAAATTTACATTTTAATTGTGTTAAAGGAGTCCTGATCCTAGTTCATCTCCAACTATAGCTTTTGGTTTGACGGAATTTTTTTAAGGGATTTGGATTTCGTGGAAGGATTTGGAATCTTTGGTGTGTTTGGTTTGTGGGATTTGGAATGGAATTGAATTTCATTCTTTTTAAATAATTTATGAAAACAAATTATGAATAAGTATAAAACTAAACTAAATACGTTTTATTAATCAATCATTACAAAACGCATGATTTTAACATGTTTTAGAACATTATTACAAACAAATCCTATGAAATCCCGTGAAATACCAACTACCCATGGAATTTTTAAGTCCAATGCGTGTGGGATTTCGTTTCCAGACTTTCCTTTAAACCAAACGAGAGAAGCAAGCCCAGCAGGCCCTACCTTAGAATGTCCCCAGACAGCCAGCCCTCACCAGGCTGCTGGCATTGCTAAATGCTCTGCCACGAAGCAAGCTCTACTCAAATTGGTAATAAGGTGGGTAAAGCAGTGCGAGTCAACGAACATATGGGATTGGAATGGAATCAAATTCCAAATCCCACCAAATCCTGCAAACCAAACGGACCCTAAGGGGGCGTTTGGTTCAATATAATGGAATTTGGTGGAATTGGAATCCATCAAAGGAATTTGACTTTGAAGGAATTGGAATGGAATTTGATCACGCGTTTGGTTGATAGGAATTGGAATGGAATCACGTAAAAGAGTAGAAATATGCATCTATCGGGGCTGGGGGTGATGGTTGTGTTGGGGGTGGGTAGGTGCTATGAGGGCAAAAAATAGTGTCGTGGTGGTGGTGGCAGATCTGTTGCCGGCGGGGTGGGGAGGGGCGGTGGTTAAATTGGATGCAAAGGTTATTTTTGTCATTCTAAAACAAAATTATAAATTATGTTACATTTGCCACAAAATGGACTTCAAATCCTTCATATATGCTAAGGAACGATCAAATCCCTCAACTGTGGAATCTGGTGGAATTCATTCAGCAAACCAAACATCATCAAGGAATTTGGTCAAAGGAAGTTGTCATTCCAATTTCATTAAATTCTTTTGAATTCCTCAAACCAAACAGACCCTTAGTATCAAATTCTAGACATTTTCATGATCAATATGCTGGTGAACAAGTGTCTGGGCACACGATTTTTGGACCGTTAGATTGTTGATGGGGAAGTATTTTAATCCTTCATGCTTACATATCTTTGCAGGATGGTCAACCACCACTTGGATGGTCAGATACAGTAGCATATCTCGTGTTGCCCGTGCTCCTCGTGGTTTCTCAGTACATATCTGTTCAAATCATGCAGTCAGCACAGGTTAGTCGTCTAAAATGTTTCCGGTCCCTCCTCTCTCTGCTAGAGATGCACAAGGGACTGGGCCTTCCAAGCCCGTTTTCAGTAAGCAAAAAAAGAGGCCCGGGCTGGGCTTTGGATTTGGAAAAGGGCTCGATCAGGCTTTTTCAATCTGGGCTTTTTTTGGGGTTAAACAGGCTTTTCGAGGTCGGGGTTTTTTGGGCTGGGCCTGCCCCTAAAGTTTCGGCCCGATTGGGCTTTGGGCCAGGCCCGGATCGGACGTTGGTCTCACTAGGCCTGGGATTTTTCAGGCCGGGATCGGGCTTGGGTTTTTATATGTATCTCTACTCTCTGCACCCACTTTAAAAAACGGGTTTTTTCCAGAATCGGGCTATGGCTATTTTGACCCGGCCTTGACCGGGCTTAAATCGGGTTTCATGCTTTGAACCGTGCCAAAAACCGGGATTTTCCGCACTGGGTCTAGTAGCCTGGGTCTGGGGGAAATTTTGGCCTGATCACTCTTTGAGGCCTAGCCAGGGTCTGGGCTTCGGGATCACTAGGCCAGGGCTTTGGGCTCAGGCCATTTTGTGCATCTCTAATCCACTTGCATCACAAGTCTTTCTTTAAGACAAAGAAGAGCGATAACTCTCCATTCTTTTCTATGGATGATGATCTTATTATTTTGGATTTTTATGCTTTGTTTCTTATATTTCTCATTAACCAACTTCCAGAGCAATGATCCCAATATGAAGAGTTCTCAAGTCATAACCAGATTCCTGCCATTGATGATTGGTTATTTTGCACTTTCAGTGCCTTCTGGGTTAAGTCTTTACTGGTAAGCAGCTCGATGCCCCTATTTTGACCATACAACTTTGATTAATTCTTGAAAACCTTAGTTCCAGTTCATTTTGCAAACCTGAAACTAGGGGTGTTCAAAAAAACCGTTGGACCGCTCAAACCGCCAAAAACGGTCTACTTTGGTCCGGTCTGCTAAAATACACACGTATTAATTATAATCTTGATGCAAACCTGAAACTATCTTTTTTGGTTATGAGTTTATGAATGAAAACTAATATAAACTTGATGCAGGCTCACAAACAATATATTAAGTTCGGCACAACAGATATGGCTTCAAAAGATGGGGGGTGCAAATAATCCAGCAAGAAAACTTAACTTCGAAAATCTCAAGGAAGATCAATCGAAAGTTCAGGAGCCGTTATTGTTTCAAACTACATCAGTTAAAGAAGCACCAAAAACAGAGAAGCCTGATGCACAAGGGTATAGGCCTGGTGAGAGGTCAGTATAATTTTCTTGAATATATGTAGTCTGGGGTTCAAATGAGAATTCCGCTGTTATAAGAAAATGCGAGAACACTTTTGGGCCTCCAAATTAATTAACCCGTTGTGAAAATTAGAATAAATAAAAAGGATTTAGTATTTATCAACAATTTAGAGTTATCTTAGATTTGTCTTTTATCCCTTAAATGTTGCTGAAATCATTGAAGACTTCTTTATGTCGATGCCTCGGTTGTCGATAATGATGTGGCTTTTGCTGTGATAAGAATGTGATAAATTGATAAATCTAAGACTTCTTATGATGTGATTTTCCTGTGATAAATCGGAAACCGGTGATGATCACGTTCATATTCGTCGACTTTGCCCGTTCATTATGTGATATGCAGCTTTTGTTCCATTTTACCCCTTTGATATTCCTAAAAAAGGGTAAATATTTATTTAATATCTTCTCCCTCAATTTTTTAAAAGCAACCGAGACTTAAAACAGAATGATGGGCTTACAAGTGTTATCGCGTTTGTGTAAATCACAGGTTTTCTCGTTTGAACCCTTCCACACACACACACAATATATATATATATATATATATATATATATATATACACACACACACACTCAGGTTCAGGGGAAATTACAAAAAAATGAAAATTGAGGAACATCCTAATAACCATTCATCTACAAGGTATGCACATATGCATAATGAAAATGTTTCTTGGTTTCTATGTTCATCTGCATTTTATGCACATGTGCATACCGGACAAATTACTTTTATGCACATGTGCATACTATACAAATGGATTGTTATCAGGGTGTTTTTTTATTTTTTTTGTGGTTTCCCATTGAACTTGACCATATATACGGCTAATACTCACGCACACTCTTAATCTTTGTTGAGGCAGGCCTGAACCTTTGCCTTCCAAGGAGAATAGCCGCTGCCAGTATCATATTGTCTTCTGAAACTAAGTTATGATATTAAGATTCGAAAACCTCATTGGTTTCTTGGATTCTTTTGATTTTGGTTTCCAGATTTAAACAGTTAAAGGAACAAGAAGCTAGGCGGAAACAGCAACAAGAGGCCGAAAAAGCTAAAGAGATTTCGTTAACAGGAGAGGTGAAAGTGGAGAATGACTCCATGAAGTCTGTTAATGGAGATCCATCGTCTTCTTCAGTTTCCAATCAATCTTCGATTCTGAGGATGGATGATGGTGAAGGTTCTGTTCAGTATAACAGCGACAGCAGGAGGGATCAACAGCATATTGATGAAAATCTTGAAAAGGTAAGCTTTTGGGGTTGGACATGACTCTTTTATTTATCTTATAAAAGGTTATATTAGATATTTGACAAATCATTATCCATAGGTTTTTCTTTGCAAGCTTAAGTCTCATACACCGAGGTTCAAATAAAAAGGCTAAATATTGTGAGAAAATAAGAAGGGAAGGTTCACATGTGAATAATTGAAAAACTCCCTTTGAAGATGCATAACTGAACCATATGAATAACCTCGGTTCACATATGCATCTTCAAATAGGTAATCTTTTTGGAATTGTCAATGATTCATACATTAACCTTCCTTTCTTACCTTCTCATGATATTTAGCATATCTATCTGAGGGCCTTGTTTGTTAGCAGCTTAATGGGACTAATAGCTTATCTGTTCAGCTATGCAAGCTATGCATGACTGTTTGATAGTGGCTTAATGATATAGAAAGTGGCTTATCCAGTAAGCTTCGGGGGGTTGGGG